CTAAGGGAGACTACAGCCTGTGACGAAAATTGTCTATGGAGGTCCTGGTCTTTGTCTAGCCCCTTATATCGTTCCTAAATTCGGTATTTTTAAGGTTTTAGCGACATTATTCTCTGGAATTGTAATTTAAGTTCCTAATAAGTACTAAGCCTGTGACAGAGAATTGTCTATGCAGGTCCAGGTCTTCGTATTTTGACGATTTTGGTAGCAATATTTACTGAAATTATTTCAAATTTCGTATTTAAAGTTTCTAATGAGCACTACAGTCTGTGACAGGTCCAGGTCTTCGTATACAGTCCATATATTGGCACCTCCCTACATTCGGTATTTTAATCATTTTAATAAAACTATTCACCGAAATTGTTTCAAATTTCGTATTTAAAGTTCCTAATGTGTACTACAGCCTAAGAGAGAAAATTACCTATGCAGGTCCTGATCTTCGTATACACCCCATATATTGGTACATTCCGTATTTTGATAATTTTGGCTACATTATTCACCGGAATTTTTTTCAGTATCAGATTTGAATATTGTAATGGCCTGAAAAAATTGTCCATGCATGTGAACGTCTTCAGCAGAAGAAACGTTTTCAGCAGAATTTTTAACGGATTTTATTTTTTTATTTTTATTTTTATTTATTTTTTTTTTTTTTTTTGAAAATTTACAAATTCGTTCCAATTGATGGAGGTACTCAAAGTTCGGCGAGGCCGAACTTGCTGCTTTATTATTATTTATATATTTATTTATTTACTTTTTTTTGATAATTTCCAATTTTTTTTTTTTTTGAAATGGTGGATAGTATTCGATGAACGGCCGAACATAATAATTTAATCCTAATTTCTTACATCGTAATAATTTTGTAAAAAATAGATCAAGTTCGAATATGAGCAATGTCGGTCCAATCTTTCTAGTACCTCCCCTAGAAATGGTCAATATTTTTATAGAAAATTATTTACTTCATAGAACAAGAACGAATCTTCCAATTTTGTTCAAACATTTCAAATCCTAATATTAGTGCTAGATCGAGTGTTGTGCGTTTGTAAGGTTATTCATGGTTAAATTATGGGCCAAACTGAAAAATTTTGACTGTGAAACAAAACACGAAACTTGCGTTCTACCAAAATGATAATATAATAACATTTCCTTTAATTCCAAAATTTTTTGAGAAAATATTCTAGTAAAAGCTGAAAAGATTCATATAAAAAATCCAAAAACTTTTTCTGCTAGTCCTTGAAAAATATCCTCGCAACAACACTCTTCAAGTTGTCATGAATATAATAATAATAAGCAAAATGGTCCTCAAAAATTGCGCTTTAAAATACACAATTATCCTTTAAAAATATTATTTAAAAATCCTTCAAATATATATATATATATATATATGCATATATATATATATTTTTTTCTTTTCTTTTTTTTTGTTGAAAATCCACGAACATTGGTCTATTCTTTAACAATCTCTCATTATTGAGTTTCTGGTTACTTGAAAATATATTCAAGAAAAATCCAAATGTTTATTGGTCTATTAGTCCTTGAAAATACTCCTTAAGAGACCATGTTTATAGATCTGTCGTTGAAAAGATATACTTTAAAAATCGATTATTGGCCTGAGAGTCCTTCAAAAAAAAATTCTTAAAAATCCATGTTTTTTGGACCTTGAAAAAATATTCTTTAAAAATCGGTGATTTTTGGTCTGAGAGTCCTTCAAAAAATATTCTTTAAAAATCGGAGATTTTTGGTCTGAGAGTCCTTCAAAAAATATTCCTTAATTATCCACGATTATTGGCCTGAGACTCTTTAAAAAATATTTCTTAAAAATCCACGTTTATTGGATCTCGAAATAATATTCTTTAAAAATCGGTGATTTTTGGTCTGAGAGTCCTTCAAAAAAATATTCTTACTATATCCACGATTACTGGCCTGAGAGTCCTTTAAAAATATTCATTAAATATCCCAGGGGGTAACCGTGAGTATCTGACAGTCCTTCAATAAGTATTCCTTAAAAATTCACGATCATTAGCCCTAGAATCCCTAAAAAAATATTATATAAAAAGGTGCTACTATATGCCTGAGAGTCCTTAAAAAATTCAATAAATATCCACGAATATTGTCCTGAGTGTCCATCAACAAATATTCCTTATAAATCTACCTTTATTGGACCCTAAAAAATATTCTTTAAACATCAATGGTTATTAGCCTGAGAGTCCTTTATTCCTTAAAAATAAACTTTTATTGAACCTTAAAAATATTCTTTAAAAATCCACGATTATTGGCCTGAGGATCATTCAACAAATATTCCTTAAAAATCTACCTTTATTTGACCTTAAAAATTATTCTTTAAACATCTATAATTATCAATGGTTATTAGCCTGAGAGTCCTTTATTCCTTAAAAATAAACTTTTATTGAACCTTAAAAATATTCTTTAAAAATCCACGATTATTGGCCTGAGAGTCCTTCAACAAATATTCCTTAAAAATCTACCTTTATTTGACCTTAAAAATTATTCTTTAAACATCTATAATTATTGGCGTGAGAATCCTTTATTCCTTAAAAATACACCTTTATTGGACCCAAAAAATATTCTTTAAAAATCCACGATCATTGGCCTGAGAGCCCTTTAACAAATATTCTTTAAAAATCCACTTTTATTGGACCTTAAAAGATATTCTTTGAACATCAATGGTTATTGGCCTGAGAGTCCATCAACAAATATCCCTTAAAAATACACTTTTATTGGACCTTAAAAACATTCTTTAAAAATCCACGATTATTGGCCTGAGAGTCATTCATAAAATATTTCATAAAAATCCACGCATATTGGTCCTTGAACGAATTATTTTAAAACCCAAGATTGTTAGCCTGAGAGTCCTTCAAAAAATTTTCTTAAAAAACCACATTCATTGACCTGTTGGACTTCAGAAAATTAATAATTTCTTTAAAATCCACTTTTATTAGACTGCTGGTCCTAGAAATCCCATTTTAGTGGTCTGCTAATCTTTGAAAAATATATTATTTAAAAATCTGCGTTTATTTTTGTGGAGGTCCTTGAAAATATATTCTTTAAAAATCTGCGTTTATTTTTGTGGAGGTCTTTGAAAATAAATTCTTAAAAAATCCCGATCATTGGCCTGAGAGCCCTTAAAAGATAGTCCTTCAAAATCAACAATCGTTTGTTGGTCGGTCAAAATTGTGAATATTTGCGAATAAACAATCCCTAAAAAATGCGAAATAAGAATTCGATTCTCCTCGAATGTCAGCCTTTCCTGTCATTTCTCTTCTATCGTCAGGCTTTTTATGACGTTTTTCTGGGCCTTTTCTCATCGCTTCAACTTCTCCTTTAATATCAATGGTTATTAGCCTGAGAGTCCTTTATTCCTTAAAAATACACTTTTATTGAACCTTAAAAATATTCTTTAAAAATCCACGATTATTGGCCTGAGTGTCCTTCAACAAATATTCCTTAAAAATCTACCTTTATTGGACCTAACAATATTCTTTAAAAATCCACGATTATTGGCCTGAGGGTCATTCAACAAATATTCCTTAAAAATCAACCTTTATTGGACCTTAAAAGATATTCTTTGAACATCAATGGTTATTCGTCTGAGGGTCCTTCAACAAATATTCCTTAAAAATATACCTTTATTGGACCTTAAAAATATACTTTAAAAATTATTATATTCCTATTATTATTGGCCTGAGTCCTTCATAAAAATCCACATATATTGGTCCTTGAAAAAAATTCTTTTAAAATCCATGATTGTTAGCCTGAGAGTCCTTCAAAATTTTTTCTTTAAAAAACCACGTTCATGGACCTGTTGGACCTCAGAAAAATATTTTTTTTTTTTTAAATCCACTTTTATTAGACTGCTGGTCCTAGAAATTCCATTTTAGTGGTCTGCTGATCCTTGAAAAAATATTATTTAAAAATCTTTATTTATTTTATATTATGTCTTCTGCTTTTGAAAATTTTCTCGTCGGTTCAACTTCTCCTTTAATTTCAGGTTGAACTTTCTCTTCTTAATTCAAATATACTACAAATTCATCGTAACGTACTTTTTCGGATTAATTTCTCTTTCGAATTGATCGTTAAATGGACCAAGCAGATGAAATTAAAGATAGGAATCTGGAGAAGTTCAACACATTCAACCATTATGTGATCCGCTCCATATTTAAATAAATGTCTATATAGACAATTCTCTTCCAGGGGAAAAAATACTCAGAGGGAACTCCTTGTGTGGATTTTCATAAAAGTTCATTAAAAAATTGGCCTACTATTATCAAAATAATATGATTATCGGGAGGTACCGTTTTGTAAGGGATATATGTTACTTAGACTTATATAACAGTTCTCTTGCAGGGGGTAAAGTACTCACAAGGAACTCCTTTCGTGGATTTTAAGACAATTCCCTTGAAAAATGTGACTAAAATCATCGAAATACCGAATACAGAGGGATCTATATTATGGGGGCTATACACTCCCATATATAGCAGTTCTCTCTCAGGGCGTAAAGTTCTCACAGAGAACTCCTTGTGAACTAGTTGACCTATAAAGACTCACAAGAATTTCAGACAATTGCATTGAAAAATGTGGCTAAAATCATCAAAATACCGAATAGGGGGTGCCGTTATATGGGGGCTATTGATATCGATGTCGATACAGTGGACCATCTTCGCCCTTGACCTGCCTGCAGACAAAAGACAGATCGGTTCGAAATTTTAGCTTCCTATCTCTGTTCGTTTTAACTCTAGCGTGATGGTGGTGGGTATAAAAAGACGATGTTTTATCGTTCGATATCAAACGGGAACTAACTTTATTCATAGTACTTTCATAACTCTAAACCTTACTGGTTCCTATCAATTTTTTTAACACTCCGCCTCTCTCCCGATGATATTTTACAGCTTTACCAATTATTTATTTATATAGTTTTTCATTAAATTTTATATTTTTCATATATCCAATTGTTGTTTTACTCTCTCTCCTTCCTTTCATTGCAGAGATCCCAAATCGGTTTGCACAACAAAATGTGGGAGTACATGAACTCACGCAAACATGTCTTCGTCAGCACTTACGACGAGGGTATACGACGTGTCCGCACCTCAAAAGGCAAATATGCGCTGCTGGTCGAATCGCCCAAGAATGAATATGTAAATGCTCGAGAGCCCTGCGATACAATGAAAGTGGGACGTAATCTGGATACGAAGGGTTTTGGTATAGCCACACCGATTGGATCACCGCTCAAGTGAGTACACACATCACCGGGAGAGAAAAAAACAGACACTTGGAAGCCTTTCTTGCATGCATTTGTTTTTTTCTTTTTTTTTTTTTTTGATTGTACCAAGAATTTGTGGATAACAAGAAAACAAAAAGAGAGCCAGGGGACACAAGAACTACCATGTGAAAATATGTAATAGGATTACAAGGCAATAAATATTTTATTCGACAAGGACCAAGCGAGCGACCAACCGACGGACCCAGCAGGTCAACACAGATATGAAAACCTTACACGGAATATTTTCTTGTTTTCATGCTTTTTAAACCTTGTAAATCTTAAGCTCTCAGCGTATTAGCTGAAGTATATTTCCGTGGAATGGAAATGAATGTTGTTTGTATGATTTCCCCCCTTCAGTTTCGTTATTACTTTGGCCGAGATGGAGATTGTTGATTGGTGTGTACCTTTTTCAGGTTTCTACCAACACCACCACCAACACGCCGCGTGTGAGCAAGATTAATTCCATTCTTTTTATGTTCGTATTCCGTTTGTTATGTTATGCCTTTTTTCATTTATTCCAAGGTGATTGTTTGCACTCGTCACTTCAAAAGATGGCAGGTATTCTCTCTGTGTTATTCCATTTGTAAAGGTAAAATTCTCCAAAAAAAACTTAACAAGTTCTTGGAAATTTGCCATCTTAAATCTTAGCAAAGGAAGCGGCTAGGATTGGTCTTCACAACCCCATGATTTTTGAATGAAAAATTATTCTCAGAAAAATATGTTTCACCTGGAAATAAGTGATTGAATAAACAAAGTTGGTGTGTTTTCAAACATTAATAAACGTTTCTTATAGTCCCTAAAGTGATGTGAACAAGATTCTTAATATTAAACAAGTTAAAAAGCAGTAAGTTCGGTCTGGTCGAACTTCGAATACTCTCCACCATTTGGAACGAATTTGGAAATATTCAAAAAACTAAATTCTTAAAAAATTCAGTTAAAATTTTAAAAATATCGAATATAGCCGTTATAATGGCGTCTATTCCACGTGGACCTACATAGGCATTGTTTGTCATAAGCCATTACCATATTCAAATTCGAAACTTAAAATAAACGGTGAATAATGCAGCTAAAATCATCAAAATTTCGTATATACGGAGCTAGCGTTATATCGTAGCTGTACGAAGTCCTGGACCAGCATAGACAATTTTCTGTCATAGGCTGTAGCATCAATTACGAACTTCAAATATGACATCTCAAACAATTTCGGTGGGTATTGTACCTAAACTCGTCAAAATACCGAATATAGGGAGGTACTGATATATGGGGCCTATACGAAGACCTGGACCTGCAATGACAATTTTCTGTCACAGACTGTAGTTCCCATTACGAACTCTAAATACGTAATTTGAAACAATTCCGGTCAATAATGACGCTAAAATCATATCGAATTTTTGGAGGTATCGTTATATGGGGGCCATACGAAGACTTGAACCTGCATAGACAATTCTCTGTCTTAGGCTGTAGTATTCATTTTGAAATTCAAATATTAAATTTCAAACAATTTCCGTGAATAATGTCGTTAAAATCATCAAAATACCGAATATCGGGAGGTGCCTTTATATGGGGGCTATATGAAAACGTGGACCTACATTGCCTATTTACGAACTTAACCTGCCTACTGGAAAAATAAACATGTGTGCAAAATATTAGCCTTCTACCTCAATTCGTTCGAAAGATAGCGTGATTGCAACAGACAGACGGACGGACATGGCTAAATCGACTTAGAATTTTACGCTCATCAAGAATATATATACTTTGTTGGGTCTGGCATGAGTATTACGAGGAGTTACAAACGGAATGACAAAGTTAATATACCCTCCATAGTATGGAGGAGGGTATAACAATGCCAGAAATAGCATCACATTTTCGATTTCTTTGAATTGGTCACCCTTGGCACGAATTATGCCCTTCAAACGGTCAATGAAATCATCACACGCTGCCCGAATGTTGCTCTGCCGTATTTTGTCCCATTCCCGGCGCAGCGCTTGCTTGAGGTGATCGACACGTTGGTATTTTTTAGTGCCAACCTTGCTTTCCAAAATACTCCAGACACAATAGTTAGATATTCGGAGATTTTGGTGGCCATTGTGAGCTGAAAATGAAGTGATGGTGCTGAGTCCTGTTGGAATGTCTAAGATATGCGGCCAAAATTTTTGAGTACCCAACGGTTTAATACACCCACCAGAATAATTTCACGATAATATTCGGCATTTATTCAGATGCCACGGTCGATTAAAACGAGCGGAGAGAGACCATCGGCTGTTATGGCTGCCCATACCATCACCATGGCCGGCCCTTGAGTTCTGGTAGCCAACCGAAGGTGCACATTTTCAGCTGACCTCTTTGGCAAGTAAACACGATAATTTTGTTTGTTTGCAAACTGTTGGACAACGAATGTTTTCTCATCGGAGACGGAGGAAACCAAATTCGACAGTTCACCACTTTCGGCCAAGCGAAGCAACTCTTTAGCTCTTTTGAGTCTATTTTCTTTCCGTTGCGGTGTAAGTTCTTGCACTTTTTGGAATTTCAATGGCTTTAGCCCGAGCTCATTTTTCAATATTTGCCGAATGGAATATTGCGATATGTTCAGCTCACGAGCCATTTTTCGGCCACTGCGACGAGGGTTTCGAACAAGTCGCTTTATTTTCTGATGATGATTTTTTTTTCTTCCGCCCACTTCCTTGATGTCGGGCTACGCTACCAGTATCACACGGTAACGAGCGATTGTACGAGACACAAAAAATTTATTCACATTTAATTGCTGGAGTGTTCTAACGATAGCCACTTGTGGTTTTCCAGCCAAATATTAAGAAATCTCATTATCACGCTTGAATTCCATTACGAATAACTTTTTTTTTTTGGAAAATTCTCACCAAAATGCTTTTACATATATGCTTGTAAACAATATAATGAGCTGTCACTGGATTAATATTAACAGCTGTCGGACGGAGGGCTTGGAAATGACAGTAGTCCGAAATTGGTTGCAGTTTTTTCATCTCACCCTGTATGTAATCAATTTTGGTTTGTAAAAAGAAAACTCTTTTGTTTCCCACAAATTCAGCATTTTTGGTGTCTTATCGATTTGAAATTTTTATTTCTAAAAGAAAGGCCATAGTCGTGCGGGACCGACCTTGTGATACCTTACAACGCCACAATATGTTACAAGCCCCCTTATGTCCAAATCCATTTTGGACGATTTCGCTTTTGAAATTATGTCTCGGAGCACTGCCCAGATATTATCCTTAGCATTGTGACCAGGGACATTTGCCCAATATTTACGCACTCCGTCGTGCTGTTAGTTGTTGGGGTCCATTTTACAGCTAAATATAATCCAATGGTTATCCATGCTAGAATTCTTCCCTGTCCCTAACCCTCTTCTCAAGCGTATTGATTGGATTCAATTATGCGATAAAGATTTTTTTCGGTTTTTGGTTAATTTAAACTCCTAAATATTTTGCGATCATCTCCAAAAGTAAGAGGCCCCGCTGTATCTCCACATTCAGAATCATCTATATGATTTGCTTGTCTACGATATTTGGCGTTATTCATCAACGAAATCAAATGTTGGTCCATTTCAAGCCTAAATATATTGCAGAAATTTGTGAAAACTTGTGAAATTTTTCGTGAGGATCGGAAAATATTGCAATCTGTATACATTTTGTAATATTTTGTAAGGTAAAAATATTACAAAATATACACTTCAATATTTTAAGTCAAACTGAAAAATCGCATGCGATAAAAAATATGAAAAAATAACAAAATGTCACAAAATGCTTCGGCATTTTTTATGCGATTTTTTTAGATTTTATTCTTTTATGCCAAAAGGACATTCTGAATTGACAAAATTTGTCAAAATCGGTACAGCCAATCTTGAAATATTAGCATCGTAGCTAACATCCCCTTCCTTTGCATATATATACTGTATATATTTCGCTATATATATCCGATATTTTTACTATCGGCATCGACGTAACAGTCAGAATTCATCATTTCGACTATTTTTGATTTCGCCGGCATTAAAAATATTCGCGGTTTAATGGAAAATTTGACTTTTATTTAAAACAAATGTTATGGTCTATTAAACCCACTAAATATTACCCGATGACCACCAAAATTGGAAGGCTTCTGTACAGCTCTATGCTCTAGCCCTTCGATTGGTCTTTAATTGCGACCTGTAGAGCAACTGCAAAATCAGAATTTTTTTCCGTTTTTGGTCCATTTCAACCCCTAAATATAATGCGATCATCTCCAAAAGAAGTAGGGTTCTATTCTGACCATAACCCCACCTCCATTTTCAATTTCGTGAGGATCGCTGGAATAATTTTAAGAGCTTTCGGATGAGTGGCTTAGAAATGACAGCAGTCTGAAGTTGGTTGCAGTTTTTTTTAATCTCACCCTGTATATAGACAATTCTCTTCAAGGGGGTAAAGTGCTCAGAAGGAACTATTGGTGTGGATTTTGATATAATTCCATCGAAAAATTACCCTGGAGGGTAATTGAAATATTGACTAAAGTCATCAAAATAGGGGGTTATACGATACCGTGGACCGATATAGCCCATCTTTGAACTTGACTTGCCGGCAGACAATTGACTGATCTGTGCAAAATGTTTAAATCCCCATCTTAATGTTAGCTTCCTCTGTTAATTCGTACTGACTCCAGCGGAATTACAATAGGTGGACAGGCCTAAATCGTCTTAGAATTTTACGCTGATCAAGAATATATATACTCTGTTAGGTATAAAATTATTATTTCGATGAGTTACAAACGGAATGACGAACTTAATATACCCTCCATACTATGTAGGATGGAGGGTATAAAAGAGTCTACTAGATGCGATTATGGTTTTAAAATTTAAGAAACTAATTTCTACTGAGCTGCCAACGATTTTCAGGAGAAACTGAGGGTACATAAGGTTCGACATGACCAACCATACGAGATTTTCTAGTTATTTTACATTTTGGCCGGCTCATTGTTATCCTCTTGTTCTTCATCATCCGCCATTTTCTTTATTGTCATTGCTCTGTCACATGTACAAAGATCATCAATTAAAATAAGAATTGTTTCTCGTTTCATTTCAACAATTTGCTGCGTATTCATTCGGAATGCCTTTTTGCCTGACTGCCTGCCTGCCTACCCGATGCCTTCTTGCTTGACTAAAATTAACGTCTTCTTCAATTGCTGCTATGCTGCCTCCTGCCATCTCCCCTTTACATCATCCCCGTGTGGAATAATACATGATGATTTTTATGTTGATGCCTGCTGTGGCGGGGGCTGGGGTTCCTTTTTACAACACAACAACAACAACAAATGGAAATCATAAATTCATATGTGTATTGTCATCAACATGATGCTGGCGAACTGGGTACCAACTACTCAATCCGCATTGAAATGGCCATGGTGGAAACCTATGATATGACTTGGTGTCTCTGGCTGACGACTCTGCCATTGCAACAACAACAACAACAACAAAAACCTATTGTTAATCATCATTTACATCCAACATTCGCGATGGACCAACATCACCATCGCCACCACCACCGTCATCCATGTTCCGTTACGTTCTGGTATAAATTCGCAAAAAAAAAATCACAAAACATCAACAACATCATTATTATCGTTGGTGACATACATCTATCTATGCATCCAACCCACCTCCCCAACTCCGACAACAACAACAACGAACGCCATGGACATTGACAAAAAAACAATTGTAATTTTCATTGGATTTTTTTTTCTTTGTCGACAACGATGGCAATAACTGCTGTTACAACAACAACAACAACTACCTCCGCTGTGCCTTTTGTTTATTCCAACAACTGTGCGCTCTTGGCCAACTATTCGACTGGCTACACTACAATTACTATTACCACGTATTGTTCGCAATCATCTCGACGACAACAACGACGACGACTGCCTTCTGATCCAACTTGCCACTAACACAACCATCACCTCCATTGCCACCTCCACCGCCTACATATCCCAGGGATCCAATTAATTTAGCCGTACTGTCGCTAAAGGAAAACGGCGAACTGATAAAACTGCGCAATAAATGGTGGTATGACAAAACCGAATGCAACCTCAACAAGGACAATCAGGAAACGTCACACAATGAATTATCGCTTAGCAATGTAGCTGGAATTTTCTACATACTGATCGGCGGTCTATTGGTGGCCGTCTTTGTGGCCATCATAGAATTCTGCTTTCGCAGCAAATCATCGTCGGCGTCCGGTGGCGCAGCGGCCAAAGCGAATGGCTCGATGTTAGGTTCGACATCGTCGTCGACACATCAAAGAAATTCACTGTCGGATGCCATGCATTCCAAAGCGAAATTGACTATTCAAGCGAGCAGAGAATATGATAATGGACGTGTTGGGGTAAGTCAGCTATATTTTTAATGTTCTCCAATACCCCTACCACCTTCTCCTCCTCATTTTATAGGTTTCATTTTTGCATGAAATATGAGAGTTCAGCGAAAATAAAATTAATAGGGTGGTGCGGAATGAAGTATCTACATTTTTATACCCTTCACCATACATATTATGAAGGGTATATTAAGTTCGTCATTCCGTTTGTAACTCATCGAAATAATCATTTTAGACCCAACAAAGTATATATTCTTGATCAGCGTTAAATTCTAAGACGATTTAGCCCTGTCCGTCCGTCTGTCCGTCTGTTGCAATCACGCTAGAGTCTAAACGAATTAAGATAGGAAGCTAAAATTTTGCACATATCTCTCTTTTGTCTGCAGGCAGGAAAAGTTCGAAGATGGGCTATATCGGTCCACGATATCATATAGTCCCCATATTACGGTACCCCCCCCTTGTTCGGTATTTTGATGAAGTTAGCCACATTTTTCAATAGAATTGTCTGAAATTCCACACAACAAGTTCCTTGTGGGTATTTTACCCCCTGCAAGATAATTGTCTATAGTGGTCCACGATATTGTATAGCCCCCATATAACGGTACATCCCGATTTTCTGTATTTTGATGATTTTAGTCACATTTTTTAATGGAATTGTCTGAAATTCTACACAAGGAGTTCTTTGTGAGCACTTTGCCCCTAGACATACATTTGTCTATATAGGTCCACAATATCGTATATCCCCTCATTTTTTTTTTTTTTTTTTTTTTTTTGAAAATTTTCGAATTCGTTTCAATCGGTGGAGGGTATTTAAAGTTCGGCCCGGCCGAAATTACTGGTTTTTTACATATTTAAAATATTATAGATAATAAAATAATGTAGATAGAGCGTTATCATAACAGCATTGATGCGATATCTATAGAGTTTTACTGAAGAAGGTACATTTGCTCCGTTCCAGAACTGCAAAAAGTAAAACTTTTTACTAAGAAAACCGATTTTCGAAAAAAAATTCTAAACTAGTACATTTTTGTTTGTTTCGGAGCATAGCAATCAAAGTTATTTACTACAAGTAAAAAAGCTGTAAGTTCGGCCAGGCCGAACTTTGAATACCCTCCACCATTTGCTACAAATTTAACAATTTTCAGAAAAAAATAAAATCCGTTAAAAATTCTGTTAAAATCTTAAAAATACCTAATGTAGCCGTATATTAAGGTCGTCCATACGACGACGTGGACCTGCATAGGCAACCTTTATCATAAATTATTACAATATTCAAATGCGAAACTTGAAAAAAACTCTGTTTATAATGTAGCCAAAATCATCAAAATACCGAATATATGGAGGTACCATGGGGGTTATAAAACGTCGACCTGCACAGACAATTTTCTGGCATAGGCTGTAGTATCTATTACGAAATTCAAATACTAAATTTGAAATAGTTCCGGTAAATAATGTCGCTAAAATCATCAAAATACCGAATATCGGGAGGTATCGTTATATGGGGGCTATACGAAGACGTGGACCTATATGGCTCATTTTCTGTCTTAAGCCGTAGTATATATTACGAACTTTAAATATAAATTTTGAAACTATTCTGGTAAATAATGTCGCTAAAATCAACAAATTACCGAATATCGGGAGGTATCGTTATATGGGGGCTATACGAAGACGTGGGGCTATACGAAGACGTGGACCTGCACAGACAATTTTCTGACATAGGCTGTAGTATCCATTACTAACTTCAAATACAAAATTTGAAATAGTTCCGGTAAAAAAGGTCGCTAAAACCATCAAATATAGCTAATCGGGAGGTACCGTTATATGGGGGCTATACGAAGACGGGGACCTACATGGCTCATTTTCAATACCAAAAGACCTACAGGCATAATACACATTTGAGTAAAATTTTATCAACCTACTTCATTTCTTTCGGAAGCTAAAGTGATTTCCGCAGACGGACGGACATTGATAAATCGACATAGAACTTTATGCTGATCAGGAATGTATAGTTTGTGGGGTCTAAAGTGTAAATTTGAGGTGTTACAAACAAAAATCAAACCTAATATATTCTTGCCAGTTCTGGAACATACCATGTGTCTGTCAAACTTACCTTAATGAGCTACATAAATTATCTACTTGGTTCAAGTATCTACGTTATCCAAGTATCTTAATATAAGGCATTAAAGTATCTAGGTTATCCAAATGATACGGATGCAGTAATCTACGTTATTGAAAATCGCGCGGGTCAATTATCTCTCTTTCCCAAATAAGTTGGATAAATTATCTTCGTTATCCAAGTAACGTCGAAATGTTATCAAATGTATCTTAATGAGGTAGATAAAATATTTACCTTATTTGAAAAAGGCGAATAAGGTTTCTTTGTTATCCAAATAAGGCGGATAAAGTATCTTCGTTATCCAAGCAACGTTGGCGTGTTATAAAACTTATCTTTATGAGGTAGGTAATGTATCGACGTTTTAAAAATTTTTCAGATATGTTATCCACGTTATCCAAATGTTTTCGATATAATATCTATGTTATCCAAATTATCCAATCGACTAAGATATGTTATCCGGAAATGTTGACATGTTATCCACATTATCCAAAAAACTTGGAAATGTTATCCACGTTATCCAAATTACTGATGTATGTTATTCACGATATCCGAATGACTTAGATATGTTATCCACGTTATCCAGATGACGTAGATATTTTACCCGGGTTTTCCAAATTTCTCAGAAATCTAATACAAGTTATCCAAATTACTCAGAAATTTTATCCAAATATAATATCTATGTTACCCAATTTTTCGAATCGACTTAGACATGTTATCCTGAAACGTAGATATGTTATCCACCTTATCCAAATGAGTTAGAACCGTTATCCACTTTATCCAAATAACTTAGAAATGTTATTCACGTTATCGAAAATACTGATGTATGTTATTCACGATGTCCGAATGACTTTGATATGTTATCCACGTTATCCAAATTTCTCAGAAATTATATCCAAGTTATCCAAATTACTTAGAAATGTTGTCCACATTATCCAAATTTCTAAGAAATTTTATCCAAATATAATATCTATGTTATCCAAACTATCCAATCGACTTAGATATGTTATCCAGAAACGTAGATATGTTGTCCACCTTATACAAATGAGTTACAAACGTTATCCACTTTATCCAAATAACTTAGAAATATTATCCGAGTTATCCAAATTACTGATGTATGTTATTCACATTATCTGAATGACTTAGATATGTTATCCACGTTATCCAAATGACTTAGATTTTTTATCCGCGTTAGCCAAAATTCTCAGAAATTTTATTCAAGTTATTCAAATTACTCAGAAGTGTTATCCAAATGACTCAGATATGTTATCCACGTTATCCAAATGTCTCAGATCTGTTACCCACGTTATCCAAATGACCGAGGTATGTTATCCACGTTGTCAAAACAACTCAGATATTTATCCCCCTTTCAAAAATTACTCAGATATATTAGCAACGTTACCCAAATGACATACATACAGGGTGAGATAAAAAACTGCAACAAAGTCAAACGCCATAATTATACCCTCAGCCTACAGAGGGTTATATCATTTGATACGGCCAAAACGTGCATAGTCCAAATAACGGTTTTAGACCCTAGGTCTCTTTGGACCAAATCCGTTTCAGGACTTTGGAGTCGATCTACCGATGTCCGTCCGTCTGTCTGGTTGGTGCGCACGATAACTCTCGATGAGAGTATACGATTTGATCCAAAAGTTGGTACATAGTAATATTATTATCAAACTTAGATCAAGTTCGGAGATAGGCACTATCGGTCCACTCCTTCTAGTACCTCCCACACAAAATATGAAAGAAAATAATTTATTGCACAGAAAGAGAAAGGATAATCCGATTTTGCTCCAACTTTGCGAATCCTAGTATTTTTCATCAGTGCTAGGTCAGGTGTGAAAATGGACAATATCGGTCCACTCCTTCTGGTACCTCCGCAAAAAGGATCTAAATTTTGAATAATAAGAACTCTTATAAAATGTAATGTAAGAGTCCGATTGTCTGCAAACTTCACACATCCCAATAATTTTATTAACCACAGGTCTGGTATGAAAATGGAATGTATCGGTCCACTGCTTCTGATACCTCCCCCACAAAAGGTCGAAATTTTGAATATCCATTAAGCTCATAAAATGCAAAATTAATATTCGATTCCATTTGGATTTGGTACATCTGAATATTTCTATCAACACAGGATCTGTTATAAAAACGGCAGAGATCGGGTCATTCCTGCCGGTGCCTCCCCACAAAGGCTAAAAGTTTCGAATAACGAAAACATTTATAAAATCCAAAATAAGCATCAGGTTTTCTTTATATTTCACACATACCATTATTTCTATTAACATAAGATCTGTTGTTAAGATGGAATATACCGGACCACTTCTTCTGGTACCTGAGGGTATACGTCTGTCGGTAGAGCCGATTGATACTTTTTTAACTTGTTTTTACATCTTTCTTAAAAAATTTTATTGAATGAAAGAAAAAAATATCGGAAATAGCATCAAATTTTGAAATAAGTTTAAATTTGTTCGAAATGGTCACCTTTGGCACGAATTATAGCTTTCAAACGGCCAATGAAACCGTCACACGCTGCCCGAATGTTGGTCTGCGTTATTTTGGTCCGGCGAAGCGCTTGCTCGAGGCGATCGACACTTTGGTATTTTTTAGTGCCAACCTTGCTTTCCAAAATACTCCAGACACAATAGTCCAACGGATTGGTATCCAGAGATTTTGGTGGCCATTGTGCACTGGAAATGAAGCTAGGCACCTCATTTTGTAACCATTCTTGGATGGCTCGTGCAGAGTGCGCTGGTGCTAAGTCCTCTTGAAATGTCAAAGGTCTACGGCCAAAATGTTTCCGTGCCCAAAGCTTTAATCAACTCTCCAGAATATTTTTGCGATAATATTCGACATTTATTTTGATGCCACGGTCGATTAATACGAGCGGAGA